CCCCAAAACCCCAAAACCCCAAAACCCCTGGGGAGAAATAATAATTTGAATAGTGAATTATTGAATTTATGGAAAACTTGGGGGACTGCAAGGTTGAAGGTAGGGATTTTGAGAAGGAGTCAGCTTGGGATTTGGGGAGGAAGGGACTTTGGGAGGGGGAAGGGGCTGGGAGGGATGTTTTGGAGGTTGGAATGTTTCTGATGTGTCGGTATAGACAACTGATGTTTGTCGGAATCGTCGGATAGCCCAGAAATCCCGGATTGGAGTGATGTTGAGATTCAGGAAGATGATGGTGTTTACCAGAGTGGTTGTTCGGACATACTGTTTGAGCTCACACCGAATTTGTTTGATGGAGATCTCATTGATCTCAAAGAATTTGAAGAGGTTGGTCTGAATAAATCTAAATCTTCTAATGGAAAAGAAAAAGATGTGAAAAAAGTTAATATTCAAGATGAGACCACTGCTTCTGCTCCTTTGCAGAAGTTTACTGCCGTTGTATCTCAGCCTGAAGAAACGAAGCTTGGAAAAGAGATTCAAAGAAGATGGGGAAGGAAGCAAGACAAAATTTTATTCAAAACAATTAGAGAGATGGAGAAACAGCAGATTATTACTCTTGATGAGCTTCTAAATTTGGATCCTACTTTAACATTTAAGGATGATGAGGCTATCCAAGAGCTATGTATCAGGTCTAAATGGAATGCTCATCCTGGTAAACTTCTAACAAGGATACAATCATTGTCTAAGCATGAGTTCTCCTTCAGAGAAATTAAGGAATTAAAGAAAATTCTTAGGAGAAAATATAATTATAAGAATATTGATTATAATGAGGCGATCTATGAGTTCCCTGGCAAGTCGATGGCTGCACTCAAGAAAATGATTAATCAGATCAAGGATTCATTCAAGAATCAAAGTTTATGAGATTTGAAGGGCAAGCGCAAGTGGAGGAAACAGAGGACTTAAGATCTTAATTTCGATAATAAGTTTATGATTAGAAATATTAAATAAATTTTTAATGCCTTAATTTCCAAAGGAATTTCTGGTATAATTATTAAAAAATTCCATTAAGCCTACAAGTTCCTATATAAGCTTAACCATGAACCCTTTTCATTCACTAATCTTTTGCTATATTTAATACTAATGGATGCTTACAGCTTTGCTAAGAACACTGAGATACATATTAAGTCTCTTCAAAATTATCAAATTTTGATATTTAACCTCAGTAAACTACTCATAACCCCAAAATCCCCTCTAAACCCCTCAAAACAGGTCCAAACACCTCTATCTCTCCTCCAAACCCTCAAAACTCCCTAAAATTCCCTCTCCTGCACCTTTCCTTCCAACAATCACTATAATTCCATTCTTTAAACCCCTACCTCCCTCCCCCAGCCCTGCTCCACAGCCCTTCTGCTCCTCACCCCTTTCTTCCCACTTGTTAACACCTCTAAACGCCCCATCACCTAGCTCTTAAAGCCTAAATTTAGGTGCACAGTTACGCTTTGGGGATTCTGGTAGTAAAATTTGTGAAAGTTCAGAACTCCTTTGGGATTTTAGGTGGAAAGGTGATAAGGGGTTTTGAGTGGGAGAGAGAGGATTTTCAGGAATAGGCGGGGATTTAGGTGGAGATTGGGCTGAAAAGGGGGATGGGGTAGTTAAGGAAGGAGGTATGGGGCCTTGGGGATTGGATTTTAGTGCTTTTTGATATGGTTGTTCCTTCTCAAAATTTTCGTTTTTGGGAAGTTATGCTTTTAGCATTTTTAGTACTTTTACTCCTAAAGTCTTATAAATACTTGTCAAACAACGCAAATATACTAGTCTTCCTTAGTAATTTATTCTCAATTTTTTTTAACTTCTTTGAGCCATTGTTAAAGACTTCTCACAATTAAGAAAAGATTAGAATAAAATTATATGGATTACTTTTTAGAAAATCAATGAAATAGATGATCTGATGATATATTAAGCTAAAATTAAAAAAAATATAGGTAAGCATTAAATTGTCTCCTAATTACTCATCCAGCAACGATAGGACTAATTTTATATGAAAATTTTAATGAACTTCTAAAAGTTTGAATGAAATTAGAAAAATTCAAAAATGTATTAATATTTCTCAGTTCTAGAAGTTCTATAAGAAAATAATTTCTGATTATTTTGGCTATACTGTTTCTTAAAATAGTCCAAACAAGCTTTAAATGTCAAATGAAGCCATATGGAAGTAAAAATTTTGACTTGTAAAACTAACAGTAATTTCGCCTATTCTTAATTTTCATTCTGGGCTATAAATATATCGGAATGAAGTGCAATAAAATTTACTCAATTTGCTCTAAATGTCCCGGGGTTTTGGGGTTTTGGGGTTTTGGGGTTTTGGGGTTTTGGGGTTTTGGGG